GTGTTCTTTGACAAACATGGATGCCTCCAGTAAAGCACATTCACATGAAAATTACTCTGAATTAAAAACACTGAAGAACTTTTGTTTCTCTACCTTTGCATGTAGTGAAAACCCCGAAGGTTTTCTGAGGTATTATTCTTTTATTTTATAAATATATCTAAAATGGTTAACCTGCTTCATTAATAACGTATCTGGATACGGCGTCTCAGTATCCATTTTTTTTGTTTACCCTCATTTTAGAGTAAAAACAAAACAAACAAAAAAATAAATAAATAAAAGTTGGTGCATTTATTTCATTTTCCATATGAAAGCAGAATGGGGCCTAAATGATGTTAACCTGCTGCTGCGTGTGTGGCCGGTGGGGGGGGGGGTCACAGACGGACGATGCTTCCAGTTGGAAACAGTCGTGATGTCAGAGAGGAAATGCCTGCTGGACCGAGGACTTTCCTGCACGCAGCCGCCGTCAACAAGCAGCATTAAACTTCTCAGGAATTTGGGGTGGAGTTTGCTTTGTTCACGCTGCACGAGTGTGTGTGTGTGTGTGTGTGTCCACAATTGTTTTTGATGAATAAGGTTTTCCACGTGTTCAGTTGTTCAGTCGTCACAGCTCCAATTAAGGGCAGAAAACTGACCTTGGAGCACCAAATTTGGTCACCTCGTATAGCTTCAGTCCTTGTTTTCTTCAGAACGCATTAACGACGATTGACGGAAAACTAATATGTTTACAGGATCGCAAGTTACTGGCAGCGGCTCAGCAGATGCTTCAAGACAGTAAAACCAAGATCGAGTTCATCAGGATGCAGATCCTGAAGGCCAGCCAGGCCAGCGAGCTGACCTTCGAGAGCAACGACATGATGGGTGAGCCGCCGCTCTTGTTGTTACTCCCCTTTGGCTTAAAGCAGCCCATCCATTCTGCATCGTTTCTGATCTGAGATATAAAGCAGAGTTATTCGGCTCAGGTCCGAGAGGTCCAGAGTCCTGCAGCTTCCAGAAAACCGGCGTCCCAATTAAAATAATGCTGGAAAAACATGAAAGACACCATGATTAGACCTCTAATAACCAAGAACGATTGTAAAACATGTTACTCACTACTGTGTGTTCAAACTATCAACACCTGTCCTCCTGGACCTGCAGACAAGTCCATCATCAGTCCTCTGGACCTGCGGGTGGAGGAGCTGTGTCACCATGCCAGGATAGAGTCTGCAGTGGCAGAGGGAGCCAAGAACGTCATGAAACTTCTGGGTTCTGGAAAAGTCACAGAAAAGAAAGCTCACTCAGAGGTAGGCTGGAGGGGGTCACTGTGAAGGACGGGGGTCTGCAGCCTTAACAATCCAAAAAGAGACATTTTGGACACTTGTCCAGCTAAAATATGGCATGATTGCATACATTTATTTTTAAGAAATATGAACCTCAAAAGATTTGTCATTTATAAACAACCATTGTACCATTTCAAATTTTAGATTTTAAAATTCAGGGAAAACGAGAATAAATGCATTTCTCAATGGGCTGCTAAACGTTTTGGAAAGTTATCTTTAAAACCCAACATTTTTACATTTTTTCTTGAACTAAGGAGGTAAGTGAGACACTCTGCAAATGGAACAACATGATTAACATTTAAAATAAGACAAAATATTTTGTCTTATTTCAGTTGCATATTATCTAATTATCTTATTTTAAAGTTGTAAGGAAATCATATTAAAATGTCAAATCCTTTTAGCTTAAACATGTATAATAAATATAATCTTTATCAGACCATATTGTCCAACAATTTAGAAAATTTCTATTTAAAAAAATCTAGTTAGTTCTACGTCAGCCTGAACACCTAAATTCGGCCAATCATATATCAACGGTCATCTGTCAATCAAATGTTTTCAGTCATAGCATCTTGATTCATGTGTCGCAGCTAATATACGCAACGGTTGAAATCAGAATCCTTTCCTTTCCCATTGAGTTGCGTCCCAGTGTTCACGGGGATGGACGTCTGTGTCTTCGGCAGGCGTAGAGCTAACAGAACTGGCAGCGTTGCGAGGCAAGGGCTCAAACATGTACGGCTGGAAGCCTTCTACACCAAACCAAGCTTCTGCCGCCCTGGCGTCCTCTTCCACAACATCTTCGTCCCCGCTTTCCTCCTCTAAATAAAAAATGGATGACGGAGGAGACTCATCCACGACCTCCGACACTAAACTCTCCTCCTCTTGCATGTTTCCGCTGTCCATAGCGTTCCTTGACAGCGTCGTTTCTAAGTCACCAATTTAGTGCTACTTGGTCCCAATAGGAAATTCCCATTGGGAACCTGCTAGCACTAAGTTGCTAACTGGTTAGCAAGATGCTTCCAACAAACCGGCCACAACTAAACATGCTTGCAAACCTTCTGCCACAACAATCTAGTTTACGGCTATAGTCTGAAGAGGTTAATATTTAATAGGTTGATTGTTTTGTTCAAATTTTTTCCACTTAAAAAATATTAAAAATAGTTTATATTTCTGTTTTTTGAAATTAAATGCAATTAGATACTGGGGAAAACGCTAAAACATGCATTTATTTAGTATGTCTATTGTTAAAATAATTATCCAAAGTGATGAAGAGCCTTAGTTGAGTGTCTATAGAGCCGTACGTTGCAGACCTCTGGTCTAGGACTTGGTCAGGATCACTCAGATTGCACCTGATGGGGGGGTAAATAAAAGAGGAAATTGTGTCTCTCCCTCAGGCTCAGGCTCGCTTCACGGAGTCCAGTCAGAAACTGGACCTCCTGCGCTACTCGTTAGAACAGCGGCTCAGCGAGTTGCCCAAAAACCACCCCCGCAGCAGCGCCATCAACGAGGAGCTGTCTCTGCTGTCCTCCCCGGCCCTCAGCCCCAGATCCAGCATCATCTCCACGCAGAACCAGTACAGCACCGTAACCAAGCCTGCAGCGCTCACAGGTAAGAGCAAAACATGAAGCACAATTGTTTTATGTAGACACAGGAAGTTATCCTGGCATCAGGGCGGACTGATATTTCCTCTCAGATTGGCGATAAAATGAAACATAAGTGTTTATATCAACAGTGCAGTGTTACATTAGGGAACGTGTTTGACTGGTGCAGCTGTGCCCTTATTTTTGTCTGCAGACACACCTGTATACCTGTGTCTGAACAGGCTGAAAACCCGCCTCCCTGCAGCTGCTTTGATACGTAGTGAAATGTGTTCCATTATTGTTGCAGCAAACATGTTTTTAAATTGGGAAAAAAAGGCAGAAATGAAAGGTTTTGAGAGTAACTTTAATGTTTTTCAATTTTTTTTCCCCAAAAAAGTTTATTTTTTCAATTTATTTATTTTTTTTTTTACAGATTTTCACATAAAATTGTCAATTAAAATTTTTTTCTGATTGAGTTTTCCTTCTGCCATTTGATTTAAATAGTGATTTCCTTATCACATTCTCTTCACTTCTGGGGGCGGGCTTTCCTCGGAAATTAGGAGGGAAGACGCATTTCTATTGGTCTGCTGGATGTTAGCAACAGCATTTTTATTGGTCAAGAGCGAGCGTCGTTATTGGGCTCGGGACGAACAGAATGAGATATGGGAATTACAATTTTAAGAGGATGGAAATAGTTAAACTCTTTTTGAAAAACAGAAAGTTGAAAAACTAATAAAATCCGTGAAAAAATGTAAATGTAAGAAAACAGCAAACTTTTTTAGTTTTTTTTTATGCTCAAAATTTCCCGACATACGTATGTCGACGTGTGTTAGCGTGTTTCAGCGTGCTTTAGCATGCTCATAACTTCATGTCGCCAAACGTACCCTTGACTTATCTAGCTAACTGCATTTTTGCCAGATTTTTCGTACGCTGGTCTGAATCGTCAGGGTGTGACGGACGCTTTAGCAACAGCATTTTTATTGGTCAAGAGAGAGCGTTGGTATGGGGCTCGAAGTGAAAAAAAATTAGATATGGGAATTACAATTTTAAGAGGATGGAAATAATTCAACTCCATCTGAAAAACAAATACAAAAAATATGTATAAAATATGTAAATAAAAACAAAAATAGGAAAACAAAAAATTATGAAAAAGGTAAATGTAAGAAAAACGCAAAGTTTGTCTTCAACTTTTTTTTACAATTTGTATTTTTTACAAATTTCTTTGTCCTTTGCTCTCAAAAATAGAGGAACAAACTTTGCGCCGTAGCTTAAGAGGAACCAAATCAAAACAAAGCTAATGTCTCCCTGTAATTTAACAGCACCATGCTAAGTATGCTCTCCTGTTATCTCACACTTTATCAAGCTTTTAATCCAACTCTGATTTCCCTTAATAATCTTTTCCCTGCTAGTCTGTCGCATTAAAATGTTGCAACTAAAATCTAAAGCAGCCAGATTATTTGTTGATAGCTAATATTAGCATGTAAATTCAATGCAATGTAAAATTGAATTGTGATGGGACTGGAAGCTTCACAGCAAAGAACTGAATTGGCTTCATGTTTCCTCCCAGTAGCAGATAATCCCTTTATTTCAGTCTTTGCTCTGCTAACAACGGTTGGATTAGTCATCCTGCTTCCCCTCGGGCTGCGTTCAAGAACACAACTTGGAAGCGTCTCCACAGATTCTAGCTGGTAGAACCGGGTTGGGTTTGATATATTTTGGGAATCATCATCATATTAGTCATATGTTGGTCGCCGGTTCGCTTTGAAGCTGAATTGTTAAATGCTGATGCAAAGAAATATAGGATTTAGTTAATTCTGCTGAAGTGTCAGGTTGAGCGGGATTAATCCGCCTTAAGCAGGGATTGGAGACGAAAACTGAGAATCACAGAGACCCATCGGGCCTGTATGTGATTTATAAAAGGTTGCTTTCTATTGGCCATCTAAACTAAATAAAATACTAGTTTATATTCCAAGATTGGTCATGTTTTTATATGAAGTCATCTTTGTAACTGGATTTATGCACTGAAATCTAAAAAAAAACATGGTGGAAGTGGTTTACTTTAAACACACTGACTGGTAGGTTACCTTCGTCCTCAGGCACGCTAGATGTCAGACTTATGGGCTGCCAAGACCTTCTGGAAAGTGTCCCCGGCCGCTCCAAAGCGGCCCCCAGCCCGCTGCCTGGCTGGAGCCCCAGCGAGACGCGCTCATCCTTCATCAGCAGAGCAAACAGAAACCGAGGGGTGAGCTCCAGGAACCTGACCAAGAGCGAAGAGCTCTCCAGTGAGTATCACCCTGAAGCTAACAGCTAACCACTGCATTTTATTCCACTACTGTTCAAAGAAAAACTATGAAAAAAGAAAAAAATACAATCCATGAATGAAACTTTGAAAAACAGTTTATTCAACAAAGGGTTTTGAAAACAACGATGAAGTATTATGGTCAGGATTTATTCTCTATTTTGAGAATAAAGTTGTAAGATTACGAGAATAAAGTTGTATTTTATGACAACTTTCATTCTGGTAACAGGTTGTGGTATGATGACCTCATTCTCCTAATATTACGACTTTATTCTAGTAATGTTACGACTTTATTCTAAAAAATAAAAAAATCTCAAGTCTGGCCCTAGTTTTTCAGACTGATTTTTACAAATTTATTCATTTCAGATCAGGTCTAAGAGATCACATTCTCTTCACACCTGGGGGAGGGCTTTCCTTGGAGGGAGGAGTCTAGATTCATTCCTATCGGTGTGCTAGACGTTGGCCATGTTTTTATTTAAGGGCGAGCGTCTGAATTGTTCTGTTAAACCTAATCTGATATATTTATAAATTCAGGACTGAAACTAAACTCAGTCACTGATCAAAGTTTGGATCCAGCTTTTATTTCTCACACTTGGTCATCACTGGAGTAGCGAATCACAGGCTGTGACAGAATGGCGTTTCCTTTGACTCCACAGTGGAAATGCTCACAAAAAAAAAAAACCTGCCAAAGAAGATGAAAGTTCTGGAACAAAAACATTCTGTATTTCACATAGTCCAAATTTCCAGATATTTAGTAAAGAAACAGAATTGAACCAGAAATCAGAGCTCTGTGTGTAGCATGGCTGTTCTGTACAGCTGGAATCCTGATTGTCTTTTCTGTCTTCAGATGAGATCAGCGCCGTCCTGAAGTTGGACAACACCGTGGTTGGACAGACCAGCTGGAGGCCCATCAGCAACCAATCCTGGGACCAGAAGTTTACACTGGAGCTGGATCGGGTAACACTCGTCTGCTTTTGATCTCCACCTGTGCTAACAGCTCAGCGGCGTGTTTATGCTGCTTCGCTCCAAGCTAACGTTTGCTGCTCTTGTTGATCTGGCTCTGCTCTCTAGTCTCGAGAGCTGGAGATCTCGGTGTACTGGCGGGATTATCGGTCCCTCTGTGCTGTCAAGTTCCTGAGGCTGGAGGACTTCCTGGACAACCAGCGTCATGGGATGTGTCTGTACCTGGAGCCACAGGGGATGCTGTTTGCTGAGGTGAATGCAGGCCAACGCCGGCACACCGGCTGCTTCCCGTCCATAAAAGGATTCCTCCACACTGATGTCACCCATGTTGTCATCCATGTTTAATTATGTCTGAAATATCTAACCATCTGATTTTTGCTTTAAAGGTGACATTTTTCAATCCTGTTATTGAGAGGAAACCAAAGCTGCAAAGACAGAAAAAGATTTTCTCTAAACAACAAGGTGAGTCAAGGTGGATCCC